GGTTGTGGGGCCTGAACTCTGGGCCTGGGTGCTGTCCCTCAGCTCTTCAGCTCAAGGCTAGTGCTCTACCACTTGAGCCACAGCACCACTTCTGGCTTTATTTTTCCTTTTTTTTTTTGCTTATGTGGTGCTGAGGAATCGAGCATTGCAAGGCAAGCGCTCTACCACTGAGTCACCTTTCCAGCCCCTAAAGAAACATTTCTTAGGGCTTATCTAAGACTTTCTGAGTCAGTCTGTAAGCTATGGAGTTCAACAATCTAACAAGCCTTGGGGATGATCCTGAGCCATACCAAATTTACAAATACTGTATTAAATGTAGCTGGCATTAGTTGAATTTTCTTTGGAGGGGAAGGGAGGCAGTTTGGGGCTTGAACTCAGGGCCTGGGCAGTGTCCCTTAGCTTTTTTGTTTAAGACTAGCCCCCTACAGTCACTAGAGCCACAGCTCTACTTCTTGCTTTTTGTTTATGTGGTACTGAGGAATCAAACCGAAGGCATCATGGCATGCTAGGCAAGCACTCTACCACTAAGCTACATTCCCAGCCTCCAATTTTTTATTTTTATAACTTTAAAAAATTCTTTCTGAGTGGGCTGGGAAGGTGTCTCAGTGGTAGAGTGCTTGGCTTGCATGCATGAGGCCCTGGGTTCGATTCCTCAGCACCAGAGTTCAGGCCCATGACTGACCAAAATAAAGGAAATTAAGATATATTCAAAGTTAAAAATACCTGTTTTAAGCTGGGTGGTGACTCACACCTGTAATCCTAGCTACTCAGGAGGCTGAGATCTGAGGATTGTGGTTCAAAGCCAGCCCAGGCAGGCAAGTCTGTGAAAACGTTTTTTTTTTTGGGGGGGGGTCCGGTCATGGGGCCTGAACTCGGCTTGGGAGCTATCCCTCAGCTCTTTAGCTCAAGGCTAGCACTCTACCACTTGAGCCACAGCACCACTTCCGGCTTTTTTCTTTTTGCTATGTAGTGCTGAGGAATGGAACCCAGGGCCTCATGCATGCAAGGCAAGCACTCTACCACTGAGCCACCTTCCCAGCCCCAAGTCCGTGAAAATCTTATCTCCAATAAACCACCAAAAAACTGGAAGTGGCACTATAGCTTAAGTGGTAGAGCTCTAGCCTTGAGTTGAAGAGCTGAGGGACAGTGCCCAAGCCCTGACTTCAAGCCCCATGACTCCAAAAAAAAATAAAATAAAATAAAACTACCTGTTTCATAAAAATTTAGTGGCATTTTTATTTCAAAGTGTACTTTAATGTTTTTGATCTTCAATGCTTTTTTTTTTGTGCTAGTCCTAGAGCTTGAACTCAGGGCCGGGGTGTTCTATTCAAGGCTAGCACTCTACCACATGAGCCATAGCTTCATTTCTGGAGGTTAGAGTTTTATAGACTTGCCTGCTAGTCTGGCTTCAAATTGTGATCCTCAGCTCTCATCCTCTCAGCTTACTTAGTAACCAGGATTATAGGCAGGAGCCACTGGTGCCCTGCTATTATCAGTGTTCTTTTAAGTATACCATTTACATTTGCAAAGTCAGTACCTCCCAAAAGCTGGGAGAGTAAAGTCATGGGTTGATGATGAATTTGCTTCATAACACTTGACACAGGATTTAATACAAATGGATCACAGCAGTCACATTTGCCTATTTTATGTGACCTTCAGCAAATTACTACATTTGTGTCCTTCTGAATTTGTAAAATAGGGATATCATCTATCTTAGAACTTTAGGACACAGCTAAGGTGCTTTCATAAATAATTACTTTGACTAATGCTAAATATGTGTTGAATAAAATGTCAGTAAGAATTGTATGGCTTTAAAAGACTTGGGAGCAATACTAGCTGGGATTTATAAGTTAATAGTAAGATTGCATATTTTTTTGTAAGGCTGTTATTGTAGTGTTACTAAGTTTAGATCAGCTCAGTTTGAATTCTGCTGACTAGTTTTGCTAATCGAGAGAATGTCTTCGAACTCTCCAAACTTGAAAATTTAGTCATACTTTGTTGCTTTTATCTCTTATTCTTAATTTTATTAATGTTCAGCTTTAGAAACTTTAAAAATACTATATAGTATAAGTAGTGTATAGGATGCATATAATTTTTAATTACTGTAAATTTACAGAGGTTTCTTAGTTGTATTTTCATACATGCATATAATGTTACATTGTTGAAATTATGTTAATTTTTTGGGGGGGTCAGTTGTGGGACTTGAACTCTAGGCTTGGGCTCTGACCCTCAGCTCTTCAGCTCAAGGCTAGTGTTCTGCCACTGGAGCCACAGTGTTACTCCAATTTTTTGCTGATTTATTGGAGATTAGAGTCTCATAGACTTTCTGGCCTCAGCTGGCTTTGAACTATAATCCTCAGATCTCAGCCTCCTGAGTATGTAGGATTACAGGCGTGAGTCACCGGCACCCAGCTTGTCCTTTCTCCTTCTGCTGGTCGTCTTTCCCCAACATTCTACCTTTTACTGTCATAGCATCTATTTATTTATTGAGCCAAGCCTGGACCTTGCACTCAGGGCTTGGGCACTGTCTCTGATTTTCTCTCTCTCTCTCTTTTTTTTTTTGCTCATGGCTTGTACTTTACCGTTTGAGCTGTAGTTCCACTTCTGAATTTTTGGCAGTTAATTGTAAAAGTCTCATGGGCTTTTACCCATGATCCTCAGCTCTTACCCTCCCAGCATGTTAGGGTTACAGGTGTGTATCACTCATGCCTGACTTGTTAAAATATTTTAGTAAACAGGGCTGGGAAGGTGGCTCAGTGGTAGAGCGCTTGCCTTGCATGCATGAGGCCTGGGTTCGATTCCTCAGCACCACATAAGCAAAAAGAAAAAAGCCAGAAGTGGCGCTGTGGCTCAAATGGTAGAGTGCTAGCCTTG